CACCTGTGGCAGGCTGTTGACATCGATGTGGCCATTAAGTATGCCATCGCAGCCATAGTTGGGATTGAAGTTATTCAGATTGGAGTCATCTATATTATGACGCAAGCGACTCAGCTGCAGATCCTGCTCAACGAGCATCTTGTGTCGCAGCTTAGCCTGTTTTTTCCGTTGATAGCGATTGTCTAGAACAGAAAATATCGAGTTAAATTAATGAAGTTGTCCATCGGGAATACCCTGCTTCAACTTACACAGCATAAAGATGAGTGCCGCAATGCAGATGAAGAGCACGGCCAGGGAGACCATTAGAATGGAGACCAGATACTGGAAGGATGACTTGCCGGCCTCCTCCTGTCGCTCGCAGGCCGTGTTGTTGTCACGCTTCAGACTCCAGCCATCCGGGCATATGCAACGCACTTTGGACCTAAACTCATCCAAAGCCACGCAGCGATAGTCACAGCCGCAACCCTCAATGGCAGGAATGATAATGATGGCACCTGAGCCGCTGCTGGCGCCCGCAAAGATCTCACTGGCATCCCGCAGGCTGCGGCTGCTGCTGATGTAGGAGCTGCCGCCCTCTCCATTCGACTCGTTGAGGTAGACATCGCCGCCCGCATAACCGCCACCGCCACCACCGGTGTTGCAGCCACCGCCGCCGCCACCAAATCCACCCTGGCCGTGTCTGTGGACCGTGGTGCCATTGTCAGCCAGTTCTACGTAGCAGGAATGACCACCACGCCCACCTTGCAGCAATGCAGCACCGTAGGTGGGACTCAGTGCCTGATCCTCTTTGGCGCGCCAGCCACCGCCGGGCCCGGCAGTCTTCTTGTTCAGCGGCTCGCCATTGATCTGTCCGCTCTCGGGCGCCTGCAAAGGCTTCGCCTTTTGGCCGTGCTGAAAGTCTTCGTCTATGTATTGGCCAATGCCAAGGCCACCGCCGCCGCCGGCCACCAATAGCGGCACCGCCTCGTTCTTGGCTTGGTTGAGCAAAAAGACAAAGGATCCACCGCCCCCACCACCGGCGCCATTCTCAATGTAAATGTTCTTCACCATGTCCTGCTTGGAGCGGAAGCTGTATTGGCCCAAATCCAGCTCGTGCTCTGTGCCGCAGCCAGCTTCCTTGTGCACGCTCATGGATTTAATGCAGGCATTCTCGCCCTGCTGGCCAATCAGGAAGTACAGCTCCTCGTTTTTGAGCAGCTCCAGCACTGCCACAGCCACCGAACCACGCGAGCTGCCCACGCCACCCGAGCCCAGGCCTCCACTGGCGCCTTTGGCAATGATGCTGTAAAGGAAACAATTGCAATTAGACGCTGCGAGATCGGCATGGACTTGAGCAACTTACGTGTAGTGACCCTCGTTGGGCACCTTCCACTTCTGCATGCCTTTGTAGGTGCTCTGATCCTCCACGACATGCACTTCGCGCAACACATGGCTTTGGTTTTGCTCCTTGTAGGCGGCTTCACATTGGGCTTGTGTAGGTCCTATCATACCTCTCGTATCGCATGTTGTTAACTCTAAGTCTGTAGGGGGTAATAAAAGGAAGCATTAATTAGTGTCAGCGAACTTACTTAAAGGAAAATATATTTCCAAGCATGTCATATCATGTCATGTCATGTCATATAATATCATATCATGTCATATAATGTCATATCATGTCATATCATAGCATATCATGTCATATCATGTCATATCATGTCATATCATGTCATATCATGTCATATCATGCCATATCATGTCATATCATGTCATATCATGTCATATCATGCCATCATGTCTCATGTCATATCATATTGTATCATGTCATATCATGTCATATCATGTCATATCATGTCATATCATGTCACATCATGTGATATAATGTCACATAATGTCATATCATGTCATATCATGTCATGTCATATAATGTCAAATCATGCCATATCATGTCATTTCATGTCATATCATGTCATATCATGTCATATCATGTCATATCATGTCATATCATGTCATACCAAGCCTATTGCTTCAGGCGTATGTGACTAATAACATCAGCATCCTGAATCTATGATCTTCTTGTTAGCTTATTGCCAACTTGACCACTAATAGACTAATATATCTCCCTCTGATTTTATTACTCTTATCACATTTTCAATGGAGTTCTTTTAGAATGATAACTTTATAAACAGATTTCCTACTTACAGTTTGTATGTTCAAAGTCGTGATGCGCAGGACTCTTCAGATTGTGCCTGACGTCCCAATAGTTATATCCATTTAGATGTTCCTCGGGTATGTTGAGACCAAAGCATTCGGGGCTGAGAGAAAAGTCATCGACGGCCACATCAGAAAAGATGCGCATGCCCATGCGTGCTTCAAATTGTAGATAGTATCTGTAGGAAGAGCATGCAAATATAAACTGTGACATCCCAAAGACGTGGAGCGCTTCAACCTACTTGGCCGTAATGTTGGGCAGCACGTACTCGGCGCGCAGCCAGTCGCTGCCCTGGTTCTTGCTGCTCCACCAGAGCGTGGTGGTTATGTTCTCCTTCTCCTTCATTTCGACAACGGACAGATTAATGCTGCCCGGATTCTTGCCAAACTGATGTATATAGAAGCGAACCACGCACGAGTTGCGATAGGGCGAGTCCGAGTTGCCATGCACCGACGGCGGCGGATTGAAGGTCTTGCTGAGCATGATGGCATTGCTGGCAAAACCAATTATAGAGCTCTTATCAGAGTTGTTGATGTGCTGGTTCATGTTGACGAGCATGTAGTAGCCGCCAGTGGTGTTCAGCAGATGCTGCTGCGTGTGATCGCCATCCGGTCCGGTGTCGTGGGTGGGCGAGGAGCCAGTGTGCCGTGACCAGGTCAAAGTTGTTTTGCCCGAGTCGCGCCAACCGCACCAATCATCCTCGAAGTCGCAGCGGCCCCCGTATGGTATCTTGTCTGAGAGATAACAGAGCTTGAACTATTGAACCCGCTGGGCGATAATGAATTAATCGAGCGTGTCTACTTACCACATGACTGCAGCTCGTCTTCGGCATCGTCGCAGTCGCGCGTAATATCGCAAATGCGTGGCAAGGGTATACAAACGGGCACTTTGTTCATCATGCACTTGACCTGGGAGGTGCTGCACTTCTCCGACTTGGTGCCCTCTGGGAAACAGTTGACCATGCGCAGATTATCCAATGCCACATGCGCCTTCTGGCCCTGCTTCAGCTCGGGCACAACTTCGAACTTGATGCGAAAGTCGCGCGAGATGCGACCGAGCCGGAACAATTTGTGTGTCCACTGGCGAAAATTGTCGCCCTGAATCTCGGCCGGCACCCAGCTGCTCTCTTGCGGATGCAGCGGCTCCACGACCACACGTGACAGTCCGTGACTCATGTCGCTCTGATGCATATAGACCTCCAAGAAGCATCTCTCCAACGTGGTGCTAAACGAGGGCGACGTGAGGTTCAGCTGCCGGGTGCTCGGCTGCACTCGGGCGTACAGAAAGTGACCATTGGCATCGTCTATGCTGTCCGCCACAGGACCTGGCAGCAGGCCAGTCATGTTCTTCTTGGCCAGCTCTGTGCCGCTGATCACCTGGAAGCCATCGGGCAGATGTTCGGTCCATTCCCAGGCGCACGGCGTTTCAAAGTTGCACTTGACGCCCAGCAAATCTTCGATTTCTGTCGAGGGCGTGGACTCCGTATGTGGTGCATAGGTATTCTATAGAAGAAGGAACAGTTAAATTGGAATAGATTATGAGTGGGCCTTCCTCCTCAACTTACCGGCTTGGGTGCTGTGTCCCGTATGCGTTCCTTGATCTGTTGTATGGGATCGATTTGATCCACATCCCCATCGGTGTCGCCATCCATATTTCCATCAGTGACGCTGCGCACTGGCTCATCCGCCTGGTTGAAGCTCTTCTTTAGCTTGAGCAGCTCACTAATGGAGTTCTTGCGTGGATACGAACGCATCGGCTGACTGTCCATGCCCGCATACAGCGGCGGTATGCGTGTCGAATAGGGTCCAGCTGTCATGGCGGCTGCGCCGCTGGGCTGACGCAGTCGCTCTCCGTAGCGATCGGCCGAGCCTACGCCACCTAAGCCATCGATCTTGCCAATGGACGAGGTGGCCGAGTAGGAGGCATAGCCGGTGCTCTTGCCGCTGATGCCACCTCCCGGACCGCCCACTGAGGGCTTCATCAGCTCCTTGCGCAGCGACTCGATGCCGCGCTGCCCATTGCCGCGCTCGGGCCGCGGCAAGCCACCAGCGCCCACATGCGAGAGATTCTGACGGCGTCGCGTATCGCGCCGACTACCGGGCGGCGGGCGCGAGCCAAAAGTACCTGCACTGGCCTCACCCTCGTAATCATCATAGACGTGGACGGGCTGCGCCAGGCCCGGCAGCGTGGGCAGCGGCAACGGCTGCGGCTGTTCGTGCAGCCGTCCATTGCGCAGCTGCTTGCCCGGACCCTGATAGTTGTTGTTGCTGTTGTAGTTATTGTAGCTGTTGCTCTGATGCTGCGACATTGGCAGCGAGTTGAAGGTGTGATTCAGCAGCGGCCGCTGCGCCAATGCCGACGGCCCGCCCAGCAGCAGCAGCAGCCAGAGAAGGCTGACCACCAGTGGGCGTGGCATGTCGCTCGAGTGCGAGTAGTTGTATGTGGGATCGTTTGTGTGTGTGTGTGTGTGTGTGTGTGTGCGTGAGTCGCTGTGAATATCTATGAAGTGGCGCTGTTACAGCTGTCGCTGTTGCTGTTGTTGTTGTGCTTGAGTAAGTCCAGCTGCTGCTGTTAAGCTTTGAGTGAAAGCAGTTGCTGCCTTTTTAGCTCTTGTGGCACTTGGGCAATGTATTTGCTGACCGCTGGGCGGGCACACGAATCGCGCATTTAAAGTTCTTCAGATGCAGGCAGCACATTGCTCAAATGTGTGTGTTTGTATGTGTGTGGGTGTGTGTGCGTGTGTGTGTATCTGTGTATGTGGATGTTTGTGGGCGTGTGTGTAAAGTTGCCTTGTTAGCTCTGCTGTTGTTGCTTCTGTTGGGGTTTGGCAATCTGCAAAAGAGACAAAGAGAGCCAGAGAGTGGAGTATGCAAATTAATAACGCTTCATGACTTTTGACTTTTAGTGCGTGCATAGATACCGCTACAAATGCCCACGTAATGACATTTCGAGACGCCCAATTGTTACCCTCTTAGCTGCCTCTTTATAATTGTCGTTACCTCCACGAGTTGAAGTCTGCGATAGCATTGCGATCGATTGGTAGCAACTGGATTTTACTCTGCTTCGACTACTAAGAATTGTCTCGGGGCAAGCAAAAATATTGCTTTTCTAGAATCTGCTGTGGTTGCTGCCCATCCACAAAGATACACTATAGCTTAACAGTGCATTAAGACTGCATAGCTACTCTGTAGAAAGTCGTTAAAGTTAAGCTTAAAGCCCTACATTAAACGACCTAAACCAAAAACCTAAAATATGCCATTCAAAGATTTGAAAAATTTTTCAAACAAATTTGAGTCAATTTCTTAAATGGAAATCTTTAAACGAAGGTAAAAACCTCGATATTCCTGACAGAGTACTCGAAGTTCTGAAAGACTTTAGCGATGCAAATCTGGAGGTAGATTATATATTCCAATTCTTGGAACCTAGAGCTCACCGTTTCTCTGCTCGCTGGATGAGCACAACAATTCAATTGGTGTACAACAAATCGCCCACGGAGCCAGTTGCACTGCCCCCTCCCTCGTTTTTAATGCCCGTGGACTCTGCATCAAATAACATCAAATATCCAGAAACTGTCAACTACCAAATGCACTTTGAGCCCAGCCGCCAGGCATTGAGCAATTTTTGCACAATAGAACACAAAAAATGCAATAAAGGCCCTGAAAGGAAGTCATCCCCCCTCCCCCGCCCTTCATCTGGCCCCTTCCCCAGCTCACGGTCAAAAAAGAAAATCGATGATTCGTATTGTTTGACATTTGTCGAGTACCGTTTTCAATTTGTCTCCAACAATTTTACAAGCTGCCTGAATTGTTAATGGAGCCTAAAGCCCACCGGAAATGGGTCAATGATATAAGGTCCATAATTGCACGGCAGGTGAATATGTGCCGCATGCAGCTCTTCAAATATTTGCCCATGCACCTATATTTAGCTGTAAACACAGCCCGCAGTTGGGCAATGCATACGTTTATCATATCTCTGCTAGTTGAGAGCTTTCAATATAGTGGCTCAGGCTTGTCCTGCAACTAATTATATTCCACATAGTTCCAGCTAAAACAAACAATTACTAAAATTCTCGGTATATTTTGCGGTTGCTCTGTTAATTATATGCAGCTTTAGGAAAGTGAAGCGCTTGCAAAGAAGATTTAAATTATTATTATATGTAAATAGAATAATATCAAACTAATTGACCTAAGCTTTTAAAAAGCAAATTAAGTGAGTTTTATGTATTATAAGTTTAAAATGAATTTTCTTAATCCTTAGATTCCTATTTTACTTAAATATTTATATATGGCAACTTTTATCATTTATTAAGGTGTTTAACAATGGCGAAACAAAATTTTTGAATTATGAAAATATCATAAAAAATAAGACTAGTAGATTTAGTCGAAATCAATGAAAATTCTCACATTCTTTAAAAATGTGTTGAATATTTTAATATTTTATAGCTCTGCAAAATTGATTTCACTTATGAAATCATGCTTAAAATTTTTTCCATTTATTAATAAAATTTATTGCAAGCAACTGTAGCATACATGTGTCTGAAAAAATTGTAATTGAATTTGAGTTTTTGCTGAGATTTATATATGTGAATAAATATACATATACATACAAATATGTGAAATATATATAGCAAATCAATTACAAAAGATGTTGCTTATATATTAATTTGAAATCTATCAACAAGAGCAGCAGCTACTCGCTTTGCTACAGACTATTTCAGGGGCGTCGTATAATATGACTTTTAAAATTTTACTTTCAGCTTGTACACACACACACACATATATATATATATATATATATATATACCACTCAGCTACTCTTGCATGCTGTTTTTCTTAACTTTTTCAAGGGGCGAAGACATAGGCAGAAATGCATTTCTTGTATTTCGAATTGGAAACTTTCTTTTGGACCATTATCTTGCTGGCTGTGTATAGTATATCGTTTATTGTTGTTGTTGTTGTTCTTGTATTGGCTAACTGTTGTCGATTGTCGTGTTGTGGCAATCGTTGCTTTTGGCGAGGCAAACAGCAAAAAGTAAATGAGAAAAAATAATATAAAATATTCCAAGCGAAAAAGTTGGGAAATTTTGGTTCTAGATGCCGAAAATCTGCAAAAAAAAAACGAAAAGGAATTTCACTCGCTATGTGCGAGAGTGTGTATAACTCTCCCTCTCTGACTCCCTCACTCGTTCTAACTATTCATCTCTCTGGCGTTCGCGTGCTCTCCCTTTCTCTCTCTCTGTGTGTGAGTGTATATAACTTCATAGTACGCGCTAAGCATGCTATACAAAATGGCTGCCGCAGTTGTACAACCAGCACAACGAAAACAACAACAAAACAGAATCGTAAATACACATAGAATTGCAAGAACACACACACACACAGACACAAATTTGAATAGTAGAATAAAAGCGAAATGTGGCCAAAGTAGCGAGTAGCACCTCGGTACCACGGCACGTATACGCAATAACCAAAACGCAGCGAGTACGAAACGGAAGCGCAATTGAAGCTGAAAGTTGTGCGAGAGCCACAGCTAAAGAGGAGCTGTCAGAGCCGAAGCGTTTTTTTATATTTAGAGCTAACTAGCCAAGGCAGAACTAACTAACTTGCATGTCAACCAGCTGGGAGTGGGCGCGTGGGCGTCAGAGTGGGAGTGGCAGACAGAATGGGTTCAAAATACGTAGAAGTGCAGATGAACTGGGGACATGATGCCTCTACAGGCTCTACAGCTTCTGTGAAGTGGAACAGGAGATCATCAAGCAGGGCACAGGAACTGCAGCAATATGTCAATTTTCTTTCTTCATTATATGTATGCCTGCGTGTGTGTGGGTGTAAGTGTGTGTGTGTGTATGGGGAGGAGGCTAAAGTTTTCCAGCGTCAGCCACTTGGCGCTGATTTACTGGGAAAAAGTCGCTAGCCAAGTTGCTGCAACTACAGCGGTTTTCCGGCTTAATTAAAGCAGCAGGCCGAGAATGGGAGGAAGAGGGGAGATAAGCTCTCAGGTAGTAACGTAAATATAATTGGTTTTAACTTTCAATTAACTGCAGTCGTAATTTAATAAAATGAACAGCAACGCTGAAGGTACTACATAAATATATATATATATAAATATATATATATATATATATATATATATATATATATATATATATATATATATATATATATATATATATATATATATACATATATATATATATATATATATATATATATGCTTTCAAATATTGATTTAGATTATTAAATTTGAAAATTTCAGTTTCGTAAATCTAATTACTTTACTTGCCTTTATTTTTCTGAATAGTACTAGAATTTTGTTCGGATTTCGAATGGAATTTTCATGCTACAGGAATTTTATATATTTATCTTAATTTTGCCTAAACAACTATTTTTAAATTAAGAGTTTTTTTGTAATGTGTCCTATACAGAGCTATAGAACCAATCGCTAGTTAAACTGGCTTAGCCACCCACTGATTAAGCATTGCAATAACAATTTTAGTTTGTATAAAATCTTTCAGAGTTATACATTTGAATATAAAATAACTCATATAATTTAATTATGAACAAAAGATGATTAATAATTGTATTCAGATCTTTCTAAAAGCCAATTTGGACTTCAGGTATCTTGGGCTTTGGATAAAACATCTTAAAAATTATTGTTGTACTTGGAGTTCATTTAATATGCAAATTCAGAGGTAAATTTTTGGTTTTGCACTTGATTTGACTGGATTAGAAGCTAAAAATACATAGCTTAGGTAAATTCATATTAAAAGCCACAAAACAGAATTTATACCGAGCTAAAGGGCCAACTTAATAATGGATTATGAATTTATTGAAATAATATTTTAATTTCCTGGCACATACAAATCCAGTTTTCAGAATTATTAAGTTCGACCATTAGCAAACACAAAATAATTGGATGCAGTTCGTAAGAAATTTCTCGGAAATACATTGCATAATTTTACCTCAAGTTAAGTGCAATTTAGAATGTGGCGAACAATTATTGAAAACTGATGCAAGCTCCAGGAAACGTGGAAAGGATTATCTGTGTACTCTCATTCCTTTATTACTTTTCAATATAACTATCTTAAACAAGCTAATTCGACTTATTTTACAAAATAATAATAAAAGCATTAAAAAACATATTTGTATTGAAAGCCAAAGCGAAGCAAACAAAAACTGTTGCAAAAAAAAGAAATGAAAAAAAATATGCGAGCTTAGAATTTGTTGTGCGTTTGTGTGTGTGTGTGTGTTTGCAGATACACACACAGCGGTAACAACAACTGCGACGAGTTGAAGCTGCGTCAACGCCGCAAATGTTGCGCTGCTACTGCTGCTGCGGCTACTGTTGGCGGTGCTGGTGGTGCTGGGGGTGGTGTCTGCTGTAGGGCTCCAAGGCTTTAGACCATCACCAGCCCCAATGCGAAACACAGCGCACAGCTATGTCGGCGTCGGCTGCTGTGCGCAGGATACACACACCAACACACACGCACACACACTCACACACACGTCAAGAGAATCGTTCGCTACTAATGGCGCAGACAAATTGTTTTGCGTATCTCACAGATACATAGATACAGAGGCGCACAAAAGATACTACACACAAAAACACACCATGTAGCATATACCACACACACACACACTCACGTACACTCGTACTCACACACACACAGTAGCAAAGTAATGAAATTTTCTTTGCAGCAATTTCTTTTTCATTTTCATATTTTATAATATTTTCCTTTTTATACACAAAATTTTTCCCCAAAATCTGTGCCACAGAAGCATTTGCCAAATATCTATGTGCATAAGCATACGTATGTATATATATTATATAGCCAAATATCATTTCAATTACCATAACGCGCACATTTCGGTCAGCTTAACAGACTAATGGCAACTCAAAGCGTTTTCTAAGCTAAATTTATTTAATTTTTGTTGTCTGGAAAAAAAAACTTTTACACTTTTACACATTTGCACTTATTTTTAATGGTTTTTTTCACAATACAAATTTTCAATGCTCTTACAGCTGAAAATTTGTTCTTTTTTTCTTGCTTTTTCTTGTGCTGTTGTTGCAGTTGTTGTAGATGCTGCGCTCTGTGGCAGAGTCGCTGTGTATCCGTGTATCTGTTGGATACTTGCGCGCACGACGCTCGGCAAACGAAGACTGAAATTGGGAAATTCTCGTGCGGGCCAACAGCAGCGGCGGCACAAACAGCAGCAGCCGTAGCAGCATCCAGAGGCAGCCCAGAGGCGACGAACCCGACAGCGTCTGGCTCTCGCTGAGGCGCAGGTTAAACGAATATCCTGCGCTGAAATCGAGCTGCGTGCAGGATACACAGAGGGAAGCAGAACGAAAAGAGGATATTTTCGATACTCGCTGCGGAAAAGGACTCGCTGCGCAACTTATGGCGGCAAAAGCTGTTGCTCTGCTTACAGGGGAATGGGAGGCGTTAAAGAGGGACAGAGAAAGAGAGAGCGAGACAGAGAGAGCGAGAGGGAGAGATAGAACGAGAGAGAGAGTGAGCCTGAGTGGGTCAGAGGCGGAGGCTGGCTCAGTGGCGCGCTCTGTCGGTCGGCGTTTGGGAAATGAATGCAAACTGCTGGAAATTGAATTTAGCTGCATGGCAAATGGCAACAGTGCCACACGGAACGTGCCGCACACCGTGCCACAGGCACACCATGCCCAACACACAACACACAGTGGGCGTATTCGCTGTGGGCATGGCCGTGCGTCAGCTTAGCCCGCATTACGTTTCCTTTTTCCTTTTTCAATTTGCGCCTCGCAAACGCGCCTCAAGTGCAAGTGTGCCCAAAGGCACACTGCCCTGCTGGCCCGTTGGCTCCACATGAACTATATAGTATAGCAATATCTTTTAGCTGCTCATAGCTGTCACAGACTTAATGGTGGCAACGTATTGGCTACACTTGTGTCCTCGCCACCAACTCAGCTTGCAGAAGCCGCCGCCGTCGCAGCAGCTGCTGGGCGTGTGCGTCTGTAATTTCATCTAATCAGTTGCACGGATGCGGCATAAATTCATTTATCATCCAAGCAGCTAGCACATGGATAATCTGTGGCTCAACAGCTGCTGCATCCTGTTGCCGGTTTATTGCATTTGATTGATTTAGCAATGAATCGAATAGTTCTTTGCAATACACGATTAACTGGAGTTTATCTTGTTGCATGCATCTTCTAGGAGACTGCATGCTGCGATTCCTTATTAAAGTTTTATAATTAACTTTAAGTCAATTGAAACTATTTTTAAACATTTAATTTTGGACCTGTTCTTTTGTGTTATTATTTAAAAAAATAATTTATTGTATTCTATTTTAGTTTAACTTTAAATATAGCAAAATTTATTTAGAAGGCAGAGGCATTCTGAAATACAATAAAGAATTCTCTAAGGCATATAGCTATGCATATATAATAAACATACATTTTAAAAAGTGAAACATTTCTTATAAGACTTTTTGTGGACCTAGCTACACAATGCAATGTCTGTAGCTCCTAAAGTCTTCTAGCTATGCAATTAAACCTAAGATTTAGTTAGTTAATTTTTTTTATATTTTATTTATAAATTCGAATTCCGCTCAAGATTTGATTATGATTAGATTCTGATCAGAAATTCGTGTTTACAGATTTATGAAAACAGTATTAGTTTTACATAAGTGCAACAGCTTTAGACTATCGTAAATGAGTTTTTTGGCAGTGCGTCACAAATAGTTTGATCTACACGGATTCAAGAAGCATTAGCTACCATTAAAAGTTCTATTGGAACTATAATTCACATAGTTTTTAATAGAAAATCTTAAGCAAAGTCAAGCAATTCAAATTTCAAATGGCAAAGCAATAAATCAAAATGGAAAAACATCATCAACAACAACAACAACAACAGCAACGATCGCAAACGGAAGTCACAGCTACATACACACATATATACGTATATATTCCCATACACGCTTGTATTTATATAGAATCGAGTAGAAGTATATCTACTATATAGTGCGCGCAGACACGAGAATTACATACATATATATATATATATATATATATATATATACATACTTAAAATATATTTAGAGACAGTCGCAGACAAGAAAAACAACGACGACATCGACGAGTCGCAGCGTCAAAGACCGATCGCAAGGGAAAATCTGGCTGAGATTTTCCTCCGTTCAGTTTCGGTTTTTCGTGCAAATTCGCAGCCGTAAACGGGACTGTAAAATGTTTAGAGCGGCGCAAATTGCAAACTATGCGAATTGCACATAAAAGCGTCACGAGTCTAGCGACGTCTTTGTATTTGAGTGCGTCTATCTTGTGGATGCACAGCAGCAAGAGTAACACACATTTATTTATAAAACACACACACACATACACACAACACTCATGCACAACAATTTTAGTGGGTGGGGCAACTCACAGCGGCATGCGACGCGTGCCAGCCACACGCGCCCTTCGACTCGACTCTATTCCAAATGTATCTGCATCTGTAGCTGGCGAAATTCGTATTTCGTATTTCGTGTCTGCAACTTGTACTTTCGGTTCAATTACACTCACTTAAATCCGCGCACGTAGCTTGAATCGGCATTAAGTTTTATATATTATTTTATTTATTATTTTTCGCCTTTGCTTCTTTTACGTATATATCGGACAGTTGCGTCGAGGCGACAACTGAGAGACGCGAATGACGACTGCCAACTGAGGCGACGCGCGTCGGCGAGATCGACCCCAGACGAAGCCCAATCGCTGCCGCTGCTTCTGTCTTTTTCTCAGATTTTTCTCACGGCCGCTCGCCAGCATCCTTGACTTGTTCTTGTTTTTGTTGTCATTTAGCCCCGCTTCACTCTCCGCTCTGGCGTCTCTGGTTTGTTTGTTTGTTAGTCTTGTCTCTGGCGTCGCGTCAAGTGGATTCAACGCAATTGACTTGTGAGCATCTGTACACACACACGTACACACAGCGGGTGTGCGGCTACTCGGACATCGATTGCGAGAATATCCATCCACTCTCACTGTGCTACCTGCGCGCAGAATCTATCAAGGCATTGCTGTGCCTCGAACGTTGCATGTCCCATAAGATTTATGCCCCGTTGCAACTGTTGCTGCATCTGAGCTATTTTTAGCGCTGCCTGCGACAATATTTCTTGTGGTAGCTGCGAATGAACTAAATGAACTGCAGCCAACTGCCTCACTCCTTCTCACAAACGCACACTCATGAACTTTTACTCCTACTCCAAGCGGAAACGTGCCTCAGCTGAATGATCGACACTAATTACAGTGCGCAATGTGTTTATTTTTGTCGTAAAAACCTCAAGATAGATTAGCACATAAACACGCAGAATATTTTATTTTATATACATATATATATATAAATAATTATAAAGTATTACTAATAAATTATAAATATATATTTAATATATTATTATATTATATTAAGTATATATTTATAATTAATTACTAATACATTATAATTATTTTTAAACAATATATATTTTTGTACACTGAACCTAATGCGTAAGGCAATTCAGGATAAAATGTTTTTGTGACAATATAGAAAAAGGCGTGGCGGACCTACATTGGTTGATGGACTATAAAATCAAGCGGGTTTAAATTTTTATTTTATGCTGCTGGATATCGCAAGCTGTAAGAGCTTATGATTTTCTCAACCCACTTTATTATTGTCACTAATATTTATTAATTAGATATAGTTTTTTATGACTAACTTGAATATCACGAAAACTGGAGACAAATAAAACATTTTGAGCATTTCGTATTATTTTTGGATTTTGATAAAGACCAGTTAAGCAGAGAGTTCAGGGTATCTGCTAGTCAGTCACTCCCACACTTAATTGTTTTAATATAAGTTTATTTAATCAATTATATATACATATATACATTATAAATGTAATTATATTGCCATAAAATTAAATATAAATAAAATCTATATATATAACATATATATAATATATACTTAACATAATAATAATTTAATATAATAATAAATAAAATAATTATATTTTCAGCTTCACCACCAACTACCTCACCTCGCCGTTACTCTACCATGAGATTTATTTATTTATTTATATTGCCCAAGCATAAGCAATACATTTAAATAATAGTAGGATTCTGTAGTATATCAAAAACAGGACACACAAATGAAAATAAATTAAATGAAATAATAAACAAAGGAAATAAGAACTAAAAAGAAACAAAAATGTGAATAACATGAAATAAATAAAAAAATGGATAGATAATAAATAAAATAGCCAAATTAAAATATTATTATTTAATACGCATTATATTTATATGGGGATGTCACTAAAAAAATGCATATGTGTATATATATTTTTATGATTTAATTGTATTATATAAGCTAAATATAATTTGTATCTTATTTAATTTAATTTAATTTAAACTAATTTTTTATTAATTATTCCTTAATTATAAATTTTTATATATGTAATTCGTAACATATTGTATTTTTTGTACCATCTCCTGTCAATAACACCCACTGTGCTCAGATCAGTTGGTTGGGTTTTTGGTTTTCAGTGTGGTCGCTGTCGCTGTTGCTGTCGGCTGTCGCCTTCAAATCTCAAGTAGCTGCCAGCTCAAGTGTTGTCACCAAATTTGTTTGTTTACGTTGCGCCCCTGGTTGTGCGGTTATCGTCATTCGATGCCACGAAAAAACTGTGCAACACGCCTTAAGGCGCCATCGAGGCACAGAGTCGGGCGCATGTCAAGTGGCCAAGCAAGCCAGTCTCAAGACCCTAGTCCTGTTCGTATATGTGTGTGTGTGTGTGTCCGTGTGTCCGTCAACTGTCAACTGTCAGATTGTGGGCCATTGTTTACGTTTTGTGCTGCGGCACCTGCGCACTGGACACATAAACAATCCGAGCAGCCTGTACCAGAAACGAATGTCACGAATCGAATGCAAACAAGTGGCTGTGGCAGCACGCGACAAACTGTTGCCCTTGTAGAGAGAGACTGCCCACTGCCCCTCCTTTGGACTGAATGTATATATATATATCGATTGGTGCAGGGCATGCGCAATGGAGCAACGCTGACTGTTGCCTGCTAGCTGACATATCGAAGGAAACTCCTTTTGATGTAGACACAATAATTGCGGGGCATGCCACTGAAAAAGTATCTGGTTCTGCTGCTGCGTGTGCAGAACGTTCCCGTGCTTCGTCTGTAACGGTTCATAACATTTCTAGTGCGCTTTCACTGTGTGTACAGCGTGTGCGTGTGTGTGTTGTGTGCGTGTGTGTCTGTGTGTTCAAGTAAAAAGATAAAAACAAAATACAATTTCGTTGCCTGTTTATTTTGCATCATTTGTAGTCGCATTACAGAGTCCTTCATAAATTTGCTTTTTGCATTCAATTTGCTGCTGACCGTGTGCCTGTGCGCGCGTGTGTGTGTGTGTTGCTTTCTTTGCCTTGGTTGCTTAACACGCACAACCACTCACGCTCACACTGACACTCATACACTCATGCATACATACATACATCTACTCAGACCAATACACACGCATTTGTGAAAAGTGAAAGTGACGCCCCAAACTTGGAGAACGCGACGAGCTTTGACCACATCTAGCTATATACACGCATATATATAAATATATACATATTTATACATATATATAGATCTAGACACATATATTTTGTACTTCGTGACAGCGCTTAGCAAAGTAATTTCGCATAATTAAAATCTTTTGCTGAGCTGTTGCTCAATTTGAAATCCCAATTTAATCTACAAACAGCCCTCGTCCCAGCATCTCGTGTCCCTTCTATTTATGCGTAGCACATACAAATTTTTGCACACACTTATACACAGCACAATTTGGGAGTCCCAAGCCACAACAACCCCCAATCCTCAACCCCCAGCTGCCATAGCTCTCTCCTCGCATGCTGTAAATTCAATAAATTCTTTTTGGCATTCACTTTGTAAATTCTCATTTTTCATTTTTCATTTTTTATATTTCACTTTTCACTCTTCATTTTTCTTGGCCTTGCAATTTGCTTTCTTTCAATTTTTTCCAAATGTTTGCAGTCAAAATGATATAATAATAAGCACGCTAACGGATCTTGACATCCGTTGGACTAAGAACTTTATACCATTCTCTATCTGAGCCACAAATCAAATTCAATTTGCAACAGGTAAGTACAAGGCAATCCTTTTCCATCTTCTTTCTTTTTCCGTTACATAATTCAACAGGGTTTCTTTAGGCTAAATTCAAACGATAAAAGTTCAGGTAACATTCAAAACTTGAAAGTTTTCTTTTTCAATTACTTTTAGTTTTTGATAAATTTTGGAGCCATTTTTAAGTACTTTTTTACTGCATGTTCAACACTCTTTTTCGGTCCACGACTTTAAAGCCCTGCAAAACCCTCGAGTGCCCTGCCTGCCTGCCAAGGCTGACTGTACATTTTTCAATTTCTTGTTGCTACTGTTTACAATTGTAGTTCATATTGTGGGGAATTATTATGCTCGTTCGCCGTGTAAAAGGAGCATATTGGCTTATGTCAAATTTCAGTCTTGACTAGAGGCAATCTATGCCTGCTGAAAACTATTTTCATTTGATTAATGTTGTTAGAAAATTCTATTTAGAATATTTTTCTTTTATTATATCGTGAACGAGCATTATGCAGTCGGCCATGTTCGACTGCAGCGGACATATGCGATGTAGTTGTTATTGGTGTTGTTGTGGTCCTTGTGCTGTGGCTCTTCTCGCTATTGTAACTGTAATTTATTTGCCTCTCTCCGTTCAAGGACACATCCAGTGCAGGTGCTACACGCACGGCTAACCACAGACGGGCACACAGACAACCAACGAGCACAACTGTGGAGCTGGTGTTGTTGTCTTTGGTTGTCTGTGTGCCTGAATTACAATTTAATTACTCGGGTAGTCCTTGCAGACTTAAAGGATCAGCGCTGGCCACGTTGAGTCAGCCTCGATGTGTGTGCTATATATAAACATTTTTTCAATTAAGTTCCGTTTTGGCTGGCAACTAAGCCCAAAGCCCGAGCTAAGTCCTGAGGAGCCCACGAGCCAGCCACGCAACCCACACGGAAATCAATGCTTAAATGTCAACTGAGCGCCTCCCTTTCTGTTTTGCAGTAAACCCAAATGCCCGAGGCATTGATACTACCCGGCATGGCTGACGCAGAGCCGGACTTATCAACGTTCGAGAATAAAACGGGACTCGCCGAGGACATGAAGTTCCTGGCTTCAATGCCAGAGCTGTGCGATGTCACCTTCCTCGTTGGCGACACCCGCGAGCCCGTCTGCGCCGTCAAGGTAGGTGTCAATATGTATATTCATGTTTATATGTGAGAGTGTGCCTGCGTATGCGCTTGAAACCAGGTCACTGCGTAATCGATGTGGCATCCAGTTCAGACCCCTATTCCTCACTATGATTTCTACCTGTCACAGGCTGTGCTGGCGTCGCGTTCGCGCGTTTTTGCCAAAATGCTATACGCTGCACCGTCGCCGCAGCGGAAGAGGGAGACAACCACCAAGGAGAACAAGCTGCGACTCTTCCTCAAGCGCTCCTCGGAACCCCTGCTCAATCTACAGAATGCGGCACAACAGGTTCGTAGTCTCATAATCGATTAACTTCAAAGGGGAGGAATTGGATACCATCCAAGTGTCAATGTGTATGCG